AGTGGTAGTCACAACGGGCAAGTGAGGAGGAGGAGAGAGAGTGAGAGGAGAGGAGATAGGAGGCGACGGCTGAAGCTGCAGACACACAGGCAACAGGAGGCAGACTGGCACAGCGGCTACCGGACGAAGTCCCCGGAATACAGGAGTAACAGGCCCCGCGGCTAAAGTAGCGGCAGACGAGCAACGGACCCACGGGCGGCTGGCACAGCTGGCTACGACTGGGCTACCGGACGAAGTCCCCGGAATACAGGTGCTGCTGGCGACACGACGGCAACCTCCATTCAGCTTCCCCAAACTATCCCACTCCCCCCTGGCACATACCCGCTGCTACACTGCTAGCTCCACTCCCCCTTCACCCCCCCTTAGTACCACTCCACCGGCTCCAACACGTCCACCCCCCCTCAGCGGCAGCTGCAGCACAGGGAGACGGAGGAGGAGGAGGAGCAGGGAACAGTACACAGTGGGTGCACCCCCATACCCCGCACCCCCAAACCCTAATACAGGAGAATGGGGAGTAGGAGGGGTGGGGCACGAGTAGAAGCGCTGGGGGACAGTAGGGAGGGCAGGGGCAGCAAGGAGCGGGCCCACCACGGGCCTGGTAGGGTCGCCCGAACCGCGCGTAGGCGGCCTGAGCCGCGCGCGGGCCTGGCGCCGCCCGTACGGGCCGCGCGCGGGCCTGGCGCAGCCCGTACGGGTGGCGCGCGGGCCTGGCGCAGCCCGTACGGGTCGCGCGCGGGCCTGGCGCAGCCCGTACGGGTCGCGCGCTGGCCTGGCGCAGCCCGTACGGGTCGCGCGCTGCCTGTACGGGCCGCGCGCAGGCCACGACGGGCGACGGGGGGCGACGAACGGGTCCCCGTCGCCCGTCGCGGCGCCTCCCGAGGGCGACGCGACGGTTGACGGGGCCGAAGCCCGCCGCGCGCCTCGGGGCGCACAGCGGGCAGAGAACCGCCGCGCGCCTCGGGGCGCACGGCGGGCAGAAAACCGCCGCGCGCCTCGGGGCGCACGGCGGGAAGAAAACCGCCGCGCGCCTCGGGGCGCACGGCGGGAAGAAAACTGCCACACGCCACGGGGCGTGCGGCACCGAGTGTAGTGGTAGGAGTTGCAGCGGAAGCTAGGAGGTGGTAAGCCCACCCACAGGATCGATCCAAGGGGATCGACCTGCTCTGATACCATGTTAAAGTTTAGAAGAAAGAAGAGGATTGCACTAGCAAGAATGAGGATACAAATAGCAAACCCTAGAAGGGTTGTACTCGCTATAGAGCACCCCACTACAGGCTAGAGCATAAGATAACATTCTGACAAGCGGCGCTGACGGAGGTCACCGCTGATGGCGCGTTAGTCGTTGCTGGTGGTGGGCCCGGTGAGTCTGCAGTAGCTTTTCCTTCAGGAGCCATAGTATTGCAGACTTTGAGGTGTAATGAGTAACTTTATAAAGGGATTGTTCTGAGAAGAACGAGGACTTTGACGGATCCTATAATCCACTCTAGCTCTCATACCATGCTGATATAACAAAAAGATCCAGTAGATAGGATAGGATCTGTTAAGTCTGAGAAGAGACAATGAAGTCTCTGTAGTGACCTTGTTGAATAATAATTGAAAGAGAACAAGATACTTAAAAGATAGGAGTACAAGAGATTAAATAGAAATCTAGCTAGCCATGTACTCTGAGGGGTACATTCCCTTATTAACTGTATTGCATAGCTATAGTAACCGCGACTGTTGCTATCCTCGACAGTTACCATGTTGCAATGAATTAACTGTCGCGCGGTTACTGGATCGTCAAAGGTCACGACCGTTGACTTCCTCAGACGGTTGACCTTCGGGTGACCCTCGACATTCCGCATGCTCTATATGAGCTGTTGCGGTACTGGTACAGTGGAGCAGCTTCGGGAATGCTTAATAAAACCCTTCGGTTATTCCAACAGCTTTTTTCTACATTTTTTTTCAGGAAACCCTACTATAGTACTTCGTATGGCTATGTAAGTACATAGCATCTTATACATGGATGTGTTTTGATTGTTCACATGACGAGCTCATCTTTCCCCCAAGTTTTTTGAAGAACAATCCACCTTTGAAACCTTTGTAGCCCTTGCCTTTTCCATAATAACCTTCATGCCCATGGTGATGCACAACCACCACAGGCCGCGTGTTGTACTGAGAATAATGCCCAGGAGGCGGGGCCCCATAGCCATACGGGGCAGGAGGAGGGGCATAGCCATAAACCCCCCTCAAGATACCCAATCAAAACGCCCAGTCAAGACACCCCATCAAGACATCCCATCCCACACCCCATTTCTCCCCCCCCCCCCCCCCCCCCCCCCCCCCCCCCCATTCACAACTGCGTATCCACCATGTACGGGGCCTCCACCCAGAGAGCCCCGCCTTCCACATCGACATCGTCCCTCTCCCGGTCCACCAAATCTACGTTAATCCCCCCCATGAAAGACGCCGCTCGAAGCAGGATGACACGGGCTTGCGCACGTTGTAACGCCACCCCGATGAGCGCCTTCAGTGACCCTAAAAGATAAGCCAAAAACACGGAGTCGTCCTCCCGACAAGCCCCCCGCGACACAGCTAGCCCCACGTGTGCATCCCCCTGCTGACGAAGCCATAGCCGAAAACGACTGCCGAGACACCCCCACGTCTCTACTATCAGAGGGGTGAACTGCACGCCCCGATTGTGTGCAAGCAGAGGTGCGTAATCACTCGTTTTGCGACGCTCTCACTCTCTTGCCGCCACACCTATTTGACGCCTGCACTGTCCTAGCAGGAATGGAGACAGGGATAGCGGGTCCGCGACGCTGATCTCTAGAGCATGAGCCTCTCCAGCCATTGGTTGTCGCACCGCCACATCAACCCGCTTCCCCTGCAGCACCACACTATCCTCCATTGTCACCACCCCCCCCTCCGACGCCTTAGAAATCTTCGCCACTGCAAACTTCACCTCATCATGCACCCGAGATGGACCATGCTGGTGCTTGCATCTCAAGGCATGATGCGGGTCTGCTGGGTCAACATACGATGTGCCACAAACACACCTCCCCGCCACCTGCAGCTGCTGAATTGGGAGCCCGAGCCATATAGCAGCAGCAATGCCCCACTCGGCCGCAGTGAATGTGAGATCTGAGTGAGCCGGAACCGCCGAAACCCATGCACCCGCCCCCGGGCCCTGAAAGGATGTGAAACGGGCCAAGGTAGCATCGTCACGAGCTAAACGGCGCAGTGCCTGGAGCTCCTCTACAGCTAACTGCCGCTGCCGCGCCTGGAAAAGCCGAACAGGAGGGGCCGCTAGACACAGAGGTAAGCCCGGTATCTCCTGGCGGATAGTTGCTGACAGCTGCTCAACGGCCTTGGCAAACCACGGGTCAAGAAACTCTGCCTCTGTCGAAGTGGTGAGGTACTCTGCAAACATAGGACAGTGGGCTCAAAGAAGCCGCCGCCCGGATCCCGAACCCTCCGAGTCGCACAGGGAGATGCAGCTGCATGCGTGCGTGCCTAGACCGGTCGGGGTCCTGCTCCCAAGTGCCAGGTGGGAAAAGCTGCTCAAAGCAATCCTCTAAACAGCTGTCCCAATCTCTAAAAGCCTCAACCACCTCCAGACGCGGCAGCATAGTCCGGGCGAGGTACATCGGCCGCGCTGAAACTGCAATGGCGAGGAGGTGTGAAGCCATCTGGGGGTGGTCGAGCAAAGGGAGCCATGGCAGTGGCGCCTGCAACTGTCGAAGCCGCTCCCGTAGCCGGACCACCTCCCAAACCTCCTCCCCAATAGGCACGCCCACCGCAGTAAGACCCTCATCCACCCGCTGCATCCCCAATGGCAGTGCCCGCTCCACCTCCCTGCCCTCGCGCTCCCAAAACCGGCACTTGTGCTCCTGCACCTCCAGCCCCACCCACTCCAACCGCTCCCGCAGCACCCCAAAAGCCTCCAGAATCCTAGCCGCTCGCCCCAAAATATAGGTATCGTCTGCATAGCTGAGGCAGGTCCCCGAACTCCCTAGTAACCGGCTCCATCACCTGCTGTTGCGTGAACGCGAAAAGAAAAGGGCCTAGCGGGTCCCCCTGCCTGGATCCCCATGCCAACTCGAGGCTCTGTACGAAAGGGCCTGCTCGGAGGTACAGGTCACTAGGTGTCCCATAAAAAACACGCAAGAATGGGATCATCCCTGAGAAAGGCGACTCTCGCAGCCCATCGAACATCGCATGACGGTGAAACGAAGAAGGCGTTTGCAACGTCTATCTGTAGCGCACACGAGTTGGGGTGAGTGTCCAGTGCCGACCGGAAAGAATGAGTGAGAATCTCCGCCCCGACCCTGGTGCCCGCTCCCAGCTGGTTACACGGCAGGAAGTAGGAAACCATCGCAGGGCGGAGCGAGATGCAGAGAGCTCGAGCAAGGATACGAGGGAGCACCTCCCCGATCGCCACCGGTCGGACGTCGCTGTTAGGCTTGGAAAGCCCGACTAGCTTGGATGCGGCGAGCCACGGCCGAGCCCGCTCAGGGACCGGTCCCGCCACCCATTGGTTTAACACTTCCATCAGGTGGGAAAGGCAGGAAGGTTCAGTAAGGAAGGTGTCGCGCAGATGCTCTGCGACCCACCCCGATGGCCCTGCTGCTGAAGCTCGAGCGGCTGTATGGATAGCTCTGGCCAGGATGTCGGTCGTGAGTGAAGGCCGCTGAGCAGCATCGACGGTGAAATCGCGGACCCACTGTGGTACCTCGCCAGTGCTAGCCGGGTGCTTCTCTCGCAGCGACTGCACCATGGCCTCAGACGGTCGAGCCAACTCCCCTGCTGTAAGGCAGGCCAATCCATGGCTCCACTCCCCGACTTTGCACCGAGATCGGCACCGTGACAGGCGGATGGCATCCGGGTCCTGGTCAGAGCAAGTGTAGGAAAGTGGGCGAACTGCTGGGCGCGCCGCCACCATGGCAGAGTCGAACAGCTCCCGCCACCTCCCCTCCCAGAACGCACCCAGCCGCTCTGTGATCAACGCCTTCTGACCTATGCCTGGCTTGGGAGGCACGGCTAGGATGAGGCGCGGAAACGCCAAGAGTAGGAGGGTAGCGGCTTCATCTCCCGGTTGGCTCTTCAAGCGCTTTAGGATGCAACAGAGCGCGTCTAAGACCCCCGACCTGGCCCGCTGTGGGATCCGGTGCACTGTCCTCCCTCCAACCACCTCCACACTGAAAAATGTTTCCCATTCCCATGACGTAACCCCAGCCCACGCCTCGTCCCCAAATTCCCGCGGCGTCGGTCGCTCCTGCGTGTCGGTCTCCACCAGAGACGGAATCAAGCCGAGAATATGTGCACGCCTCTCCGCCTCAGCCGCTCGGCATACCCTCATGTGGTTCGCAGCGGCCCCCCGCGTAGCGAAAGTGTGGAAACACGTATCACACGGAAAACGGGGGCATGGGGAAGGCTGCCTGGGAGGTTCTCCATCCGCCTCTGACTCCTCCGCAGTCGCCATGGGGGTATCAAACTCCAAAAGTCGACACCACTCCTCCAACTGCTGCTCCTGGTCGTCCATCGATCGCCCCCCTGCTTGCTGCGCTCCTTGGGGTGCCCAGGGCACCCTCGGCTGCCCCCCTGGCTGCTGCGCTCCCTGAGGTGCCCCGGTCACCGCCGGCTGCCCCCCCTGCCTGCTGCTCTCCCTGGGGTGCTCCGGGCACCCTCGGCTGCCCTCCTGCCTGCTGCACTCCCTGGGGTGCCCGAGGCACCCTCGGCTGCCCTCCTGCCTGCTGCACTCCCTAGGGTTCCCTGGGCACCATCGGCTGCCCTCCTGCCTGCTGCACTCCCTGGGGTGCTCCGGTCACCCCCGGCTGCTCCCCTGCCTGCTGCTCGCCCTGGGGTGCTCGGGTCACCCCCGGCTGCCCCCCTAGCTGCTGCTCTCCCTGGGGTGCCCCGGGCACCCCTGGCTGCCCTCCTGCCTGCTGCAATCCCTGGGGTGCCCAGGGCACCCCCGGCTGCCCTCCTGCCTGCTGCACTCCCTGGGGTGCTCCGGGCACCCTTGGCTGCCCCTCTGCCTGCTGCACTCCTTGGGGTGCCCCGGGCACCCTCGGCTGCCCTCCTGCCTGCTGCACTCCCTGGGGTGCCCCGGGCACTCCCGGTTACCCTCCTGCCTGCTGAGCTCGTCATGTGAACAATCAAAACACATCCATGTATAGGATGTTATGTACTTACATAGCCATACGAAGTACTATAGAAGGGTTTCTACATTATATCATACTTCCATGTTTTGGAAGGGGATTCCGTACGCGTTAATAATGATGCGGAGTGGAGTGCATCTGTACTTTGGATCTGATCGGACGGATACTCGACAAAGGACTTTTTGGATTCCCATCGCATCGCACCGCGCACAGTGTACACCAGGGGCATCTTTCCTCCCACTCCCATTGGGTGCCCCTTTTCAGTGCCACACCGCCACGCCACACCACATACCAGAGCTCACAGTGACGGTGGGAGCAGTCACGAAAGGTGCCATAGATTTCCTAGCAGCCATCGTCACTATAAATAGAATCTATCAGCAGCGGCATCCTCGCGCTGGGGGACAACTTTCTCCGTTACAAGCAGCGCCTAAAGTAATCAGCTCCCATCGCGCCTCACAACCGCACAGACCCCATTCGGCTCTCTTCCCAGCCTGCCGCGACGACTCACCATGTCCTTCAAGAAATCCGCAAGCAGCCGGAAGCCGGCCGGCACGCTCGAGATCTTGGACGGCAAGAAGATCCTTGAGCTGGTGCAGGACGAGGCGGCATTCACGGCGCACCTCACGGCGGCCTTTGATGAGCTCGACGCCGACAAGAGCGGCACTTTGAGCCGCGCGGAGCTGCGCCCGGCGTTTCTGCGCATTGCGCGCCTGGGGGGCCTGCCGGAGCCGGGCAGCAGGGCGGAGTTGGACCGCGCGGTGGACGCGGTGTTCGGGCTGCGGGAGGGCGGAGACGACGAGCGGGGCGTATTGGGGAAGGACGAGTTCGTGTTGTTGTCGAAAGACGTGCTCACTGACATCGCCACCTCGCTCGCAGGTCACACCGCACCTGCGCATGCTCATCATCATGTCGCTGTCGCTGCGCCATTGTCGCGACGGCTCGTTCGTTCCTTGCGCGCGCGCATCTCCACCGTCCACGCGTCCGCCTCCACGCGTGGCTCATTCATGGGCCCATCGCAACACGTCTATGCTCTCCCCACTCTCCCTCTCGTCTTCCCTTTGTCAATCCCTCAGCGGAGCCGCTCCTTGTGCAGGTGTTCAACGGCGCGGCGCTGCGCCACGTGGCGGGTAGCGCGGAGCAGCGAGCGGCGGTGGCGGAGGCGGCGTTCAAGGAGATGGACAAAGACGGCAGCGGCAAGCTGTCGAAGCAGGAGCTGCTGCCCGTGCTCGCCGCGCTCGGCATCGACGGCATGCCGCCTCCCCAAGGTCTGCCGCCGCGCATACCGCCCCTGCGTCATTGCGCGTCCTCCTGTGCCTCTGTGCTGCACCGAACAACCACACGAGTGCTCGTATCTCGTCAGTGAGTCCCCTCCTCCGCTTCTCTCCTCCCTTTCAACACACCCCCCTCTCTCTCCCCTTCCCCCGCCTCCCCCCGCCTCTTCCCGCCGTTCCGCCAGTGGCGGACGCCATGCTGTCGGCGCTGCTGGAGGAGTACGCGGCGGGCGCGGAGGAGATGGAGCGCGAGCAGTTCGAGGAGCTGTTTTCACAGCTGGCGGCGGGCATGGCGGACCTGCTCGAGGCGCAGCCTGCCATCGCGGTGGAAGCGGCGGTCGTGCTCAACGGAGGGATGCTCAGAAAGGTGCTCGCATTCACGCGCAGGCGTTGCGCACCCACACGCACCGCCTTCCATCTCCCCAGTCAGATGCTTCCACCGCAGGGCTCCTTGCCTCCGTGGATTCCCGTCTTCTCCGCTCCCCCGTTCCCCCCTCAACCCATCAATCCCTCAAATCGAATGCCCGCCTCTGCTTCTTGTGCCCGTACTCTTTCTCCGATCTCCGCGTCGCCCGGCAGATGCTCGCGAGCAAGGAGCTGTTTGAGGAGGAGGCCAGCGCGCTCTTCGCTGACTGGGACGTCAGCAAGTCCGGCCAGCTGTCGCGCGCTGACGTCATTAGCGGGCTGCGGCGGCTGGGCATGGCGTGGGGGCTGCCGCCGCAGCAGGGCGGGGAGACGGACGCGCTGTTCGCGGACCTGTTCGCGGCGGCGGACTTCGATAGCAGCGGCTCCGTGGACCGCGATGAGTTCTCGGCGCTGCTCTTCGCGCTGCTCACGTCCATCGCGCAGCAGCTGGAGCAGAACCCCATCGTGCTGGGCGTGAGCGTGGTGGTGGACCTGCCGATGGGCGGCGAGGTGCTGGACGGCAAGAAGCTGCAGCAGCTGGTGGCGGACGAGGCGCAGATGGACGCGTTCCTCGCCTCCAAGTTCGACCTGCTCGACCGCAACAGCGACGGCCGCCTCTCGCGCGCCGAGCTGCAGCCTGCGTTCCTGCAGGTGGCGCAGCTGCTGGGGCTGCCGCCGCCTGGCACACAGGAGCAGCTGGACGCGTTCGTGGCGGGCATGTTCGCGAGCGTGGTGTCTGACGACCCCGACGCCACTGTGGACCAACATACCTTCGTGCAGCTCTCCAAGCAAGTGCTCTCTGCTGTCGCGCTCAAGATGAAAGGCACGCACCACCCAAAACGCCTCTCCCCAACCCCCTGCACCCGCCCCTCTCCCTTTCCTCTCCATCTCCCACACCCGCTCTCTCGCATGGTGCTTTCATGTATGTAGTATTTCGTTACAGCCAGGGGTAATCAAGGCGAGGTGAGACCCTACCGAGTCCCCCTCTACTTCTACTCTACTGGAATTCAATGCTGTGCTTTAGGGTTGTGAAGCAATTCCCGAGGTTCAACGCCCCGTCCGCTCCTCCCACCGGCGGGTCCTTAAACCGGGTCGCGAGGGTGAGCTTGGAGAGGTAGCTCATTGCCTGCCCCTGCTGCGGGGAGATGGCCCAGCACTGCCGAAACCGATGGAACAGCTTCGCAGCCTGGAACAACGTCGGATCCGCGTTCAAGTGCACACAGGCAGCTGCCTCGCCTATGAGTTTGAGCAAGGCCGGGACCTCTCCGCAGGGGCAGCCATAGGTTTCCACCAGGAGCGGGAAGACCCTTACATAGGCCGCCCGATTTGTAGTGGTCGGCCTTCTTGGCCACCATCCCATGCGCTGCCCATCCCATGCGCTGCCCATCCCATGCGCTGCCCATCCCATGCGCTGCCCATCCCATGCGCTGCCCATCCCACCTTACCACTCACCTCCTCTCATACCCTGTCCCACACTTCTCCATGTCTTCTTCCCTCTCCCCTCCCCCTCCACCCTCCCCCGCCCTTCCCCTCTGCCCCGTGCCCTGGGGATGCAGAGGACCCGCTGGTGCTCTTGTCGCTGGACGGAGCGCGCCTGCGGCAGCTGCTGGCGCCAGAGGCGGAGGCGGAGTTTGAGGGCATGGCGGGGGAGGTATTCACAGCCATCGACACGGATGGCAACGGGGTGCTTTCCTTCTCCGAGCTCAGCCCCGCGCTGCAGGCCATGGGCGTCGCCATGGGCCTCCCCCCCGCCGGCTGTAAGCCACGCGCCCGTCATTCTTTGCCTGCCCATGTGGACATGCTCCCTGCCGCTCCTCCTGCTTGCCTTCTCCCTTCCCGCGCGTCATTCTGTCGGCCCTGAATCACTGCACAACCTTCACCTCCATCTGCTAACCACGCGGCCCCTGATCCCCCCTGTCCCGGGAGCAGTGAGGGAGAACGCGGACACGGTGGTGGCGGACGTGGTGGCGGAGTACGGCCACGGCAAGCGTGAGCTGAGCCGCGGCGACTTCAGTGCGCTGCTACGCGACATGCTGGGGGACGTGGCGGTGCGCCTGGAGGAGCACCCTGTGCTGCTGGGCCACAGCGCCACCGTGCTCAACGGCTCGCGCCTGCGCAAGCTGCTGCAGAGTCCGGAGCAGCTGCAGGCGGTGGCGGAGGAGCTGTTCCGCGACTGGGACACGCACAACCACGGCAAGCTGTCCTGCCGGGACGTCTCCGCGGGGCTGGCGGGGCTGGGCCCGTCGCTGGGGCTGCCACCGCCCGTGGCTAAGGACGCGGAGGGGTTCTACCGCGAGCTGTTCGTGGCGGCGGACATGGACGACAGCGGCTTCCTGGACCACGCTGAGCTGCGCGGCATGCTGCAGTCGCTCTTTGAGAAGCTCGCCTCCGAGCTGGAGGCGAAGCCCCTCGTGCTCGAGTGCACCGTCATCTCCACCTGATGCGCGCAAGCGTGATTACTGAGGCCTGCTACAGTGGCTAGCCATCATTTGGTATCGGTGTCACCTACGGTAAGTTATGGTCCTATTGCTCACATAGGGCCATTTGAGAAGCATCCATGCACCGGTAGGCCATTACCATCCTTTTCAGATGGAACTCTAAACGTTTACACGCTCAAGGGGAACCCATCCAGGAAATGGCAGTATTTGTACAACCACTTCAACCCCAATGCTAAGGTGACTACATTCAATAATATTAGATTGGGTTTCATCAGGACTAGCCTAGTATATAAACAACACATCGTAATGCTACCACGATACTGGCAGTATTGCTTCCCTACATGTGAGCATGACTACAACAGCTAGTGACTACCGTACCTACAAGCCGCAACAGCAGTTAAGGGAAGTGCGACGCAGGGAACCTACCTTATGAGCAAGCAGCTGAAGAGCTCTAAAGATGTGGCTACCAGGATTTCAGCGGAGCAGCAGGGCACAGCAGGTGTCAGGGCATGTGGCGCAGGGTGGTGAGGAGGTCAGCATCGATGTGGCCCAGCCTGGCACACGCCACCACGGGCTCCGGTACCTCCCACTCATTGTTGCCCTGCCAGGGGGCACGCACGCCACGCCCAGTGGACGGGGCACCAGGTTGAGATGCATGAGAAGCGAGGGGTGTGCAGAGACAAGGGGTGAGTGATGATGAGGGACACATGCGTGGAGATGGAGAGTGACACAGGGCTGCCAGGGCAGGGCAGTCGCCTGGCAGTGCAGTGGCCTGGCAGGGAGTAGAGGGAGGCATGTGAGATGAGGCAGGCAGCACATGGCAGTCACCTGGGAGACGATGGCGATGTCCACATGGTGGGTGGGCAGCCCCGCCAGCACGCCCAGCAGCGGGTGGCGGCGGTCGTCCGGCACGCGGTGCAAGTCGACGTCCACCTCCAGGTAGTCGGGACCCTGGGGGGGGCACAGGCACCACAAAGGGGCCGCGGGGAGAGGGTGTGAGCTTGGGTCGAGAGGCCGAGGGATAGTGGGCGTGTGCTAATGAGAGTGAGAGGAGGGGAGAGGGAGAGAGTGGGTGGGGGAAGAATGCGAGGTGTGGTTGGAATGAGTGGATTGCAAGGGGGTGAGGACGGATGGCACGGCAAGGTTGCGCAGGCGTTACCCACGCACTGATCCTTGCACCAGGGTCACACATGCACCACTGCTGACCCGCAAGGTGAGCAGCAGGGCAGGTGGGTCAGAGAGAGTTACCCGGAAGAACATCTGGCAGGGATGCACGAGCAGAGACGCACTCTCATCCCCCGCTCCACTGCTCCCATCACTGCCACCCTCGGCCGTCCCCTCCTCCGCTTTCACTGCTGCCTCCTTGCCTCTCGCATCCCCTTCCTCCACGCCACTCTCCTCTGCTACCCCCTCCCGTGCCTTCCCCCCATCACCTTCCCCCACACTCTCTCCCCCCCCCTCCCCCGCGCTCTCCCCCACGCGCTCGCCCGCCCGTTGGCCATGGCCCGCGTGTGGCTGGGCGCGCTTGACGAGGGTGAGCTTGACGCGCTCGCGGAACGGCACGGACCCCCCCACACCCTCCGCCATGAAGCCGCGCGCCATGCCCTGCCATGCACACCGCACGCACAGAGATGTCAGACTTCAAGGCCTCATCGCCCGCTGTGACGCCTGCTGTGGGACACGTCTTGCACACATGCACACAACACCATGGTATCTCCTGGCCATGCATGCACGTGACGGCACTACAGACACATGCACCCTCATCACACCAGACACACCACGCAAGGCATCGCAGCACAGGACACACCACCATGATTCACCGCACTGCACCACGACGGGCGCACCTGCAGCAGCGGCAGCATGTTGGGCGGAGCAGAGAGGAAGAAATCGGTGCAGATCTGCGCATAGAGCACCACGCTCACGCCCTCCGCGCGCCCCCCTTGCGCCACCGCTGGGGGCGCCTCCACCGCCTCGTGCGCGTGGGGCTGCCTCGCCAGCTGCATGGGCGCCTGGCGGATGGCGGACCAGGGAACAAGGGAAGGGGGAGAAGAGTGGGGTTGCAGGGGATGAGCAACGTGGGCATGCAGTGAGTGAGTGAGTGGTATACCGAAAGAGGGGTGTGGGTACGCAGGGCCAGCAGCACCCCCAGCACGCGGAGCAGGGCTGACCTGGATGTTGATGACGAGGTACGGCGGCCACGCCGAAACCAGTGCCGCCACCTCGCGTGCACTCAGCGCACTGCCCACTGCGCTGCTGCCCCCCGCTGAATCAGCGGCGCTGGGTGCGGCGTTACTGGCGTCAGAAGCGTGTGGCGGGAGGGCGAAGGCAGCGGGGGAGGGGGCGGCGGAGGAGGCATGGGCGTGGGGGAAGGAGGAGAGGGGGCCGGGCAGGTGCACGAGGCGGGCGACGTGGGTGAGCTTGGTGGGCGCGCGGAACACGTCCACCGCCGTCACCACGTATGGCGCCACTGGGTGCGCTGCCCGCTCACACGCCGTGCTGGGGGCAGATGCGGGTGGGTTTAACGGGCGCAGGGGAGCGGGGAGAGGAGTGTGGGTGTGTGAGTGAGCATGAGGGTGTGGCGCATGGTTGATGCATGAGTGGTGGGCGCAGCAGCAGCACAGTGCACTCACGAGAAGTAGTCGGGGCCGCGCACGTGGAAGCACGAGGGCGCCACGGGCGTCCAGAAGTGCGTGCAGCTGTGGCTGTCCGCCTGGCCCCCCTGCGCAAACGACACCCCACCCTCGCCCTGCCACGAGCCCGCATCACTGCCGCCCTGCCCCACACTGCTGGCAGCCGCGGCGGTGGCTTCCGCCTCCAGGTGCGCGGCGTACTCAGAGGGCGAGAGGCGCGGCAGCTGCCCCGCCAGGGGCTTGCGGGATGTGCTGCGCACTGCAGGGGGGACGGGGGTCGGGGGGCAAGGAGAAGAGGGAGGGGAGGAAGGAGGGGAAGGGGAAAGGGGAGGGGAGAGAGAAGAAAGAAGGACAGGGATGGGAAGAGGAAGGAGGACGTGAGAGGTGGGCAATTCAGTGAGCCGATGGGTGCCTTGTGACCTGCCATGGATGCACGTACTGCCTCATCATCCCCTCCCACTCTCCCTGACGGCCCCCACACAGCTCACCGCTGGCAGAGAGGAAGAGGCCGGGGCTGTTGGCGCCCAGGGGCGACATGGCAGACAGCTGCAGCGAGTTGCAGCGCTGCAGCACACTACTGCCCGTGCGCAGGGGGGGCGGGCGCAGCGGAGACATGGGCACCGCGTGCGGCACGGTGGCAGACCCGCTGCTGCCCTTGTCCGCGCCCTTCCTCTCCGCCCCCCCTCCCTCCGCGTGGAACACGGCGGTGGCAGCAGCAGCGGCGGCGGTGGAGGCGGAGGCGTCGGAGGAGCGGCGCGGGGGGGCATGGCGGCCGGGGGAGGAGGGGCGGCGCAGGAAGGACACAAGGCGGTGCGCGGGGGGGGCGCTGGGGGGGCGGGGCGAGGGGGAGGGCGAGGGTGGCGCGGGTGCAGCAGCAGATGAGGAGGTGGAGAGGGAGAGGGAGAAGGGGCGGATTTTGATGGGGATGAGAGATGGGAGCGAGGAGGCGGCGGAGGGGGCAGTGTGTGCACCGGTGGACGAAGGGAGGGTGGATAGGTCGGGGGGAGCAGCAGCATCCGCTGGAACAACAGGTTCGGACTGAGCAGCAGGTTCAGTGGGAGCACCAGGTTCGGTGGGAGCAGCAGGTTCAGCAGGGGCAGCAGGTTCGGTGGGAGCATCGGGTTCAGTGGGAGCAGCAGGTTCAGTAAGAGCTTCGGGTTCGGTGAGAGCAGCAGGTTCGGCAGGAGCAGCAGGTTCGGCAGGAGCAGCAGGTTCGGCAGGAGCAGCAGGTTCGGCAGGAGCAGCAAGTTTGGCAGGAGCAGCAGGTTCGGCAGGAGCAGCAGGTTCGACAGGAGCAGCAGGTTCGGTAGGAGCAGCAGGTTCGGCAGGAGCAGCAGGTTCGGCAGGAGCAGCAGGTTCGACAGGAGCAGCAGGTTCGGTAGGAGCAGCAGGTTCGGTAGGAGCAGCAGGCTCGCCAGGAAAATCTGTTACAATGGAAGCAGCAGGTTTGGTAAGAGCAGCAGGTTGGGGGGGAACATCAGTGGTTGCAGGTAGAAGTGGTTCCAGTGTCGTGGTCATGGCAGTGACTGCAGCAGAAGCAGCAAGAGCAGCAGCAGCGGGTGGAAGGGCACTACTGTGAGCAGGTGAGTTGTGGCCAGCATCTTGAGCGGCAGCAGGCAAGGCAGCGCTGCCATCCGCCTCACCCACCATCGCCGCCACCGCCCCCTCGCTCGCCGCATTGCCAGGCAGCACGGCAGCAGGGGGCAGCACGGCAGGCAGGGCGCAAGCAGAGGAGGCGGAGGCGGGCGTGGAGGCCAAGGGGGCGATGGTGGGGGTGAGCTGCGACGCTGCGGGTGGGGGGGGGGCGAGGGGGGGCGTGTCGGGCGCAGCAGGGGGCGTGGATGAGCCGTCGCCTGGCCCTGCCTCTGTTTCCTCGTCCAACTCCTGCACAGGTGGCAGCTCGTGGGGTAACTTGGCGGCCAGGGGGGTGGCGAGCGCAGCAGGGGAAAGGGACGGTGGCGAGGAGGGCGCGGGCGGTTGCGATGGAGAGGCGGTGGGCGATGGTGCGGACCCTGACAGCGGGGCGAGGGGGCGGTCACGGCAGGCATGGGAAGGATAGACGATAAGCCAGATGAAGTTGCTGCTGAATGTACATGCATGCATGCATGTGTGTGTGTGCATGCATGCACGTGTGTGTGCGTGCGTGTGTGTGTGTGTGTGTGTGTGTGTGTGTGTGTGTGTGTGTGTGTGTGTGCGCGCATGCGTGTGTGTGTGTGTGTGTGTGTGCATACATGTGTGCATGTGTGTGTGCATGTGTGTGTGCATGCGTGCATGCGTGTGTGTGTGTGTGTGTGTGTGTGTGTGTGTGTGTGTGTGTGTGTGTGTGTGTGTGTGTCTTTGTGTTTGTGTGCACATGTGCATGTGCGTGCATGCGTTGAGTGACGTGTGTGCGCACACTCATGTGGGTCTGTGCGTGTGTGTGTGCGCGCCTGTGCATGCAAGCGTGTGCATGACTGGCAAGTGTGCGCTACAGTGGAGGCAAGGAGCATGGGCGACAGGCGAGGGGCAGCAGCAGCGCCCCCTTGGGCGTCGCACCTAGGGAATGCGCGTCTTCACCACTGCCCACGCTCAGAAACTCCTCCTCCTCATCCTCCTCCGCTGCTGCCTCACAGCCCCCCACCGCATCACCCTCTGCACCCTGCTGCTCCCGCCTCTCCACCTCCCCTTGCTGCTCCGCACGCTGCTCCGCGCCCCCCCCCTCCTGCGCTGCCTCTGCCCCCTGATCCTCCATGGCTTCCGCCCTCCCTTGCGCCTCCGCGGCCTTTCCCATCGCCATGCCTGCTGGCGCCTCGCTCCGCTCTGCGCAGCACGGCGGGCGTCAGGGCGCAAGGGCGGATGGCGGGACGGGCGCGGGAGGTAAAGGCGGAAGGGGTTGGCAGCAGAGCAGGAGGGGAGGGGACAAGCACAATGCGGGCTGTGGGGAGAGGGCGACGAGCGGGAGAGGGAGGGGAACGAGTCAAGGGAGCGGGGTGGGAGAAGTGAGGAGGGAAGGGTGGGAGTAGGGGACGTGGCGTGGCAGGGGGGCGGGGGGCTTGGCGGGACTCACGGGCCTTCATGAAGGCGTTGAGCGCCACGTTGGGGTGCACAGGGATGTCCTCCCCGAACACCCTCCGCCGCACTGACTGCCCCGCCTGCTCCTCCCCCATCGCCTCCGCTTGCCCCTCGCCCCTCGCGTCCCCCCCAGCGTCCGCCAACTTCTCCTCATCCGCCACGTGTCCGCTGCTGCCGGCCGCCTTCCCGCTTTTTCGCCTCAGCTTGGGGAAGCACGTCGCCTCCCCTCCTCCCTCGCCCGCCTCTGCTAGTTCCCCTTCCGCTTTCGCGCCCACCTCCTCCCCATCCTTCGCTGCCGCGCTTTCCTTCGTCGCACCGTCCTCCCCCTTCCCCGCGCCCCCCTCCTTCTTCCCCCACAGCGCCATCCCCGCCCACATGGAGCGCCCCTCGTCCGCGCGCCCGTCGCGCCTGTCCCCGCCGCTCAGGCAATTCATGGTCACGCCGTCCGCCGGCACCACCGCGCTCAAACACCCCATCGATGCCGCCGCGGCCGCCGCTTTTTCCTCGCCGCTTACCTCCGCGGCCGCTGTTTCCTCCGCCTCCTCCGCACCCGCTTGCGCCTTGTCCCCCTTCTCCCAGCCCCTTTGAACCTCCTTACCCGTTTCCTCCCCGCCTTCCCCCTCCCCAACCGCAACCACTACGCCTTTTCCGTCCTCCCCTGCTATCCCCCCTTCCGCCGCCTTCTCCCCACCGCTAGGTTGCGCGGAAGGGGAAGGGAAGTCGAGGTTCTTGCGCGCGGAGGGCGTGGAGGGCTGCAGCGACTCGATCTGGTAGCTCAGGCAGCTCACGGACGACAGCGACTCTGCCAACGGCACGGCGGGGCGCACGGGCGGAAACACGTGCATCAGCGCGCGCGTCCTAACAGCGCGCACACACCCAGTAGCAGCAAGCTCGCATACAGACCGGGAGGCCGGCCGGCAGGCAGGTCGGCAGCAGGACGGTAGGCAGCAGGCACGGCGGCAAGGGAGGTGGACGCACCTGCTCCGGCGCTCTTGAAGTCGTCGTCCACGTCAGCCGCCGACTGCGCGTCCGCGAACTCCTCCGCGTCCGCCATCGCCTCCTCGCCTCCCGCCACCGCCCCTGCTGCTGCGCCCGCGAGTCCGTCTGCGCGGCAGCGGGGGAAAAGAAGAGTGGAGAAAGAGGGAAAGGCAGAGGTAGAGGCGGCAAGATGGGTCACGGGCAACAGCCATGGGCGCACGGCGCATGGCGCAACAACATTGCGGTGACCTTCCAGCCTTTCTTTCCGCGCCTTCCCTTGCGTCTCAACCTCGGTGCGCGCATTGTCATTAAACCTGTCCGAGAAAAACAATCCCCCGCGACGCCCCTCCCCTTTCTGCCTCCTCCCACGGTCCCCACCCAACCCGACAACCACCGTGCGCGCAGCTTACCAATTGCTTTCACCGTTTTCCCCGCCTCCGCCTTATCCGCTTGCGCCTCGCCATCCACTACGCTGCCCTTCTGCGCCTTGGCGGGAGCGGCTCCGCTTTGAGACGCGCCGAGCACGTCCGGCTTGGACAGGCAGCACCCCATCCTCGCGCGCCTCGTGCCCCCCCTCTCGCGCTCCCGACTGCTCCACCCTGTACCGAAACAGCCAAAGTGCTTATCCGTTGTAACGGAGCTGCGCGTATCGAGTAGGCGGAGCATTGAGGACGGGGAGTGGGGGGAGCAGTGACCACGAGAGCGGGGACACGGAGGACAGGATATTATGCGGATTGCGAAATATGTTTTTATGGGTGCAGCAAGTACGACGGTGGGTCAGGGTGACAAGGTCTGAATAAACGACGGAAAAGAATCGCTCGGACAATAGGGGCGGTCAAGACTGCCTTTTTCGCGTGGAGAGACAACAGCGTTTAGCGAGGAACGTTTAACACGTGGCAAGGCACGCAGACAAGCTCACATGCAATCACGAGACGGCGATATATCCACGCATGCCCATGCTCCGGTTTGGCCGAACGGACTAGGGCTGACGTCTTCTATACGAACACCCTGACTACGGGAGACTGCAGCGCGAAAGATGCTAGGAAAGCAAGTTTGTGGTTCAGTTTGCATTGCCAACATTGGGAATAGAGAGCCTTGCAGGTGACGGGCTTCCCAATAAGCGCCCGTCCACCTGTCAGCTCCCTCTTTGCTTCTTGCTCTTCCCGTCTCGCCTCGCCTCGCCGCCAGCCCCACTCCACTTGTCCCTTTGCCTTCCGCCCAACCACCACCCTCCAGTCGATTCGGCTGGACTGAAAAAGCTTCGTGCACCAACCAGCGACTGATCGCGACGGATTGTTGCGACGTTTGCCCTCTACACTTCAATCGAAAGACTTGTCGCAAACACCCCCTGATTTCGCGAAGTCTAACATTGAGTCGGCTGCTCGTGGTAGGTTTTGCCACCACAACAGATTCTCGGCGCGCTTCGGCACTGACGACGACGGTGACGATGACGAGGGCTGATGTGACGAAGACTGTAACGAGCTGGAACGAGAGGTCTCCGACGTGGTATTTTTTATAAAAGACGCGTTCTCACTCAGTTCAGTTGCCTTCGACGGCACACTCTGCACTTTCTGTTTGTACACTGCAAGTCTGCAAGCAAGTTGTAACTGACTGAACCAGAAAAAAAAATATTTACAAATCATCAATCAACAAGGACGAGAAAACAGGTCTTGGCATGCTCTTTTTACAAAAGCCAATGTTCCATAATTGGCTTTTTGAGGCTCCACTACTTTGCCAACGACACTGCCAACTACTCCACGAATGAAACGCACGCACACAGTGTGCACGCCAGGGCCCTCGTTATCAGACCAATTTGGTCTGATGGTCTGCGTTTCAGACTTCATTTTCTTACTTCAGATGATCTGTAAGACTCTGTTTTTATTTTCAGATGATCAGTAAGACAAATGATTTTACTTCAGATAAATTTTCAGATCGCATACTATTCTTCATCTGAGAATCCAGATAACGAGTACGATTCCGTCTGAAACCATCATTTGTGCCCACTTGTCCATAGGGCCACTAGTTAGGGTATCTGCCAGCATCTATACATGCATGCGTAATGAATGCTTCTGTCCCGTAGCATCCGCGCTGGAGGAAACAGCACCGCTGGCAGCAGTTAACCATGTCAGATGCTGCCAGCACTTTGTCGCTGCGTGGGTGTCGGCGCCGATGCCAGCCACACCCAGGCACCGACACTGTCCTTTTGTGCGATGGGGTGACCTGTATCAGGCCCCACGTTATCAGGGCAAAACATCCTGATTACCCTGAATTCAGGATGCAGTTTTGAATTTACCCTGTCATTTCAGAATAGTGTAAATTTTTACTCTGAGGTCTCAGGATGTTGTTATATGAAATGCCCTGAACATTCAGAATGGCTGTAGTGTTCTTCCCTGTAGCGTCAGGATGAATGCAGAGGCCTGCCCTGACGCGTTTTTTTGTTGGGGGGGGGGGGGGGAGTCCCGTACCTGGGGAAATTTTCCCCGGGGATTTTTGTCTCCGTACGCAAAACGACCTTGGAACACTTATTCATCCATCCAACCATCCAGAAGTGGCCTAGTCAGTAGAAAGATACTTTCGATAGATAAGGTTCCTGGGATCGAACCCACCCCGTTCTTCAACTTTAACTCTGTCAACCAACCAATCTAAACCCTGAACACAGGGTTTTTTGCCCTGACAGGTCAGGATTGATTTCTGAAAAAGCCCTGAACATACAGGAAGGCTTCGAAAATTTGCCCTGACAAATCAGGGCATTTTTTACGATTCCGGAAAGGTGCCCTGAGGCCTCAGGGTGCCCCAAATCCTAGCACGGGCCCTGACCTATATGCATCGCGGATGCACGTAACTGTGGTTCCCCGCCCACACTCGCACCGCGTATCACTCTGCCGCGCTACGGGACGAGGGTTTGAGGGACCAGGCTGGGGGCACACCGTCCATCTTCTACATCCTTTTCTTCCGCTGCACTCGACTGGCCCCGCAGTGCAGTTTTCCACTTTCGCCATACCCCCTGATGGCCATTCCAGAGGAGTTAGACCTCCCTGGAGTCTCAGCGCTAGATTTTCTCACACGGGGCAAGTCGATCCCCGTCGTTGCATCCCGAGGATCCGGACACTCTGCCAGGTGTGTTAGGCGTATTGTCGTGAGATCTCAGGCTTAATCGTTTTGAAACCGCGTCGCGTTACATTTGTATTCATGCGGCCGCATCTCTGTCTTCCTCTATTCACCCGCCCATTCGTACAGGTGTGGACTGGGCCAAAGCACAGAGGGAGCTCAACACCTTCGCGACAATCATGAGCACCCACCAGGAGGATGTCGGCTTCGCGGAGGGCCTGAAGCACACGCTCTCCTCACCAGATTGGACAACGAGCTACCCCAACATTGTCCGCCTGTGGATCGCTGTAGCCGTGCTCCCGCTGAGCACTGTGGAGTGCGAGCGCGGGTTCTCGCGGCAAAATGTGATCAAGAGCTGGCTGAGGGGGAACCTGTGCGACGCCAAGCTTGGTGAGCTCATGACCGTGTCTCTTCTGAGCTACAACATGGAGTGGCCCGAGTTGGTGGCTCGGTGGCGCAAATCCAAGAAGAGGAGGCCTGCAAAGGATGTGTTGTTGGCGGGAGTGGAGAGGGAGAGCAAGCGCAATAAAAGAAGATCCGCAGCAGCAGCAGAGGCAGCAGCAGCAGCAGCTGCTGTGGCTGCGGCAGAGGCAGCAGCACGCGAAGCGGCAGCAGTAGCAGAAGCAGCCAGGCTGGATGCAGAGTTCCCCTGGCTCAGTCGCAAGGGGAATGCTAACTATCCTATTCCAGTGCCGTCTGATAGCCTAGACAGCTGTAGTGATGCTGATGATAGTGGTAGCGAGTCTGACTGATACGTAGAATGGTGAAATGATACTTAGTTTTCGCATTGTATGTTGTAGATTTGATGTAGTTAGTGTAGACCATGTAGAATAGTTCATCTGTCTAATAAGACTTGTGTTATTGTTTCGTCCTAGAGGTCAGACGAAAAAAAAAACGCCAATCTGAGCATAAGACGATTTTTTTTTTTTTTACCCATCCTGTCAGACAGGCTTGAATCCTAGCGAGAGCCCTGGTGCACGCATACACACACATTGTATCAAACGCAAGCAGACACAATTGCAGTCTGACTGTGGCGAAGAACCAATGCCCATGAAAAATCAACATGCAGCAAGGACAAACATGCGGGTCCAAGCGGGACCATTGTGTGAGCGCACCCGCATCTGGCAGCCATGCGCAGCACACGCACACCCCTCAGCAGAAGAACATGTGCTCCCTGACGCGGCCCTGCAGGGGTGGCAGCGGGCGCACCACCACTTCGCCAGCGCTGCGGCTGCTGCGGCTGCCGGAGCTCTCCCCCGTGGTGGCAGACGTGCCCGTGGCGGTGGAGGGCGCGGGGGCAGCAGGTGCGTGCTCAAAGGCGGTGGACTGCGAGCCCGAGTCAGAGAACTGGTCGGGGTCCATGTAGAAGCGCGCTCGGAACGCCACTATGTGCGCGTAGTACGCCGGCGGCACTGCCAATGGGGACACGGTGGGATAGACGGCAGAGAAACGACGAGTTCTATGATGTGCCAATAGATGCATGGGTGGAGATGCATGGGTGGAGATGCATGGGTGGAGATGCATGGGTGGAGATGCATGGGTGGAGATGGATGGGTGAAGATGCATGGGTGGAGATGCATGGTTGGAGATGCATGGGTGGAGATGCATGGGTGGAGATGCATGGGTGGAGATGCATGGGTGGAGATGCGTGGGTGGAGACGCATGGGTGGAGACGCATGGGTGGAGATGAATGGGTGGAGATGCATGGGTGGAGATGCATGGGTGGAGATGCATGGGTGGAGACGCATGGGTGGAGACGCATGGGTGGAGACGCATGGGTGGAGACGCATGGGTGGAGACGCATGGGTGGAGACGCATGGGTGGAGACGCATGGGTGGAGACGCATGGGTGGAGATGCATGGGTGGAGATGCATGGGTGGAGATGCATGGGTGGAGACGCATGGGTGGAGACGCATGGGTGGAGACGCATGGGTGGAGACGCATGGGTGGAGACGCATGGGTGGAGACGCATGGGTGGAGACGCATGGGTGGAGACGCATGGGTGGAGACGCATGGGTGGAGACGCATGGGTGGAGACGCATGGGTGGAGACGCATGGGTGGAGACGCATGGGTGGAGACGCATGGGTGGAGACGCATGGGTGGAGACGCATGGGTGGAGACGCATGGGTGGAGACGCATGGGTGGAGATGCATGGGTGGAGATGCATGGGTGGAGATGCATGGGTGGAGATGCATGGGTGGAGATGCATGGGTGGAGATGCATGGGTGGAGATGCATGGGTGGAGATGCATGGGTGGAGATGCATGGGCGGAGATGCATGGGCGGAGATGCATGGGTGGAGATGCATGGGTGGAGATGCATGGGTGGAGATGCATGGGTGGAGATGCATGGGTGGAGATGCATGGGTGGAGACGCATGGGTGGAGATGCATGGGTGGAGACGCATGGGTGGAGACGCATGGGTGGAGACGCATGGGTGGAGATGCATGGGTGGAGATGCATGGGTGGAGATGCATGGGTGGAGATGCATGGGTGGAGATGCATGGGTGGAGATGCATGGGTGGAGATGCATGGGTGGAGATGCATGGGTGAAGATGCATGGGTGGAGATGCATGGGTGGAGATGCATGGGTGGAGATGCATGGGTGGAGATGCATGGGTGGAGATGCATGGGTGGAGATGCATGGGTGGAGACGCATGGGTGGAGACGCATGGGTGGAGACGCATGGGTGGAGACGCATGGGTGGAGATGCATGGGTGGAGATGCATGGGTGGAGATGCATGGGTGGAGACGCATGGGTGGAGACGCATGGGTGGAGACGCATGGGTGGAGACGCATGGGTGGAGATGCATGGGTGGAGATGCATGGGTGGAGACGCATGGGTGGAGACGCATGGGTGGAGACGCATGGGTGGAGACGCATGGGTGGAGACGCATGGGTGGAGATGCATGGGTGGAGATGCATGGGTGGAGATGCATGGGTGGAGATGCATGGGTGGAGATGCATGGGTGGAGATGCATGGGTGGAGATGCATGGGTGGAGATGCATGGGTGGAGATGCATGGGTGGAGATGCATGGGTGGAGATGCATGGGTGGAGATGCATGGGTGGAGATGCATGGGTGGAGACGCATGGGTGGAGACGCATGGGTGGAGACGCATGGGTGGAGACGCATGGGTGGAGACGCATGGGTGGAGATGCATGGGTGGAGATGCATGGGTGGAGATGCATGGGTGATGGCTGACATGAAATGATCAACTGTGGCAATGGCTTAGCACATGTATCTGACAACAGGAATTTTATTTAGCAGAGGATGTGAAGGGAAAGAGAAGCACTCACCCACGGACACGGCACGAGTGCAGCGAGCGTATCTGCAAGAAGAGCAAGAGAAACATGGGCATGAGATGCGTGGGAGGGTGAAATATACTAGAGGATGAATAAGCAGTGCCGCAACGACCATGCAACACAGCAGAACTCAGTAAGCGTGCAGGCAGCGCAACTGCACTAATCGCCGTACACCTGGTGGCGCCCAAGACGTGACACTAGCATGCAGGGCGCGTGCATGGGTTGCGAGTGGCGAGTGCATACGTGTAGGCCATGGAGTAGGTCATGCGCTGCAGCGTGTTGGAGTCAAAGCCGTTCTCGTCATGCACCACGTGGTAGTGCGTGGGGCGGCTCGTGCCCTGCCATGCCCCACCCGCACACACCACACCACACGATGGGAAGGACAGTGGAAATGTGGTGGGCATGATGAGAGGTGAAAGTATAAAGAGAGCACATGTATGTGGGTGTGAACGACAGGGGGGTATGAAGGGTGGGAGGGGAGGAGCCATAGGTAGGCAGGTTCATGCTGAGAAGGACGCTGATGCACCATGGGACACAAGAACAATTTGCTACAGGACAATTCACAACACACATCAGCCCAGTTATCTTGGATCCCATTATTGGCACACCTAGCTCGAGCGCATGCATGAGATGAGCTGACATTTGCGGTGGTGCTGGAGCGGCTGACCTGGATGCGGGAGTGGCTGACCTGGATGCGGGAGTGGCTGACCTGGATGCGGGAGTGGCTGACCTGGATGCGGGAGTGGCTGACCTGGATGCCGGAGTGGCTGAGCAGGTAGAAGTCAAACTCGGTGGGGTGGCAGATGCCTGTGTCGATCACGGTGCCAGGCAGGGCGTTGCCGCTGCGGTCCGTGGTGCTGCGGTTGCGCGAGTCAAACGGGAAGAAGCGCGTGTGGTGGCGCTTCTGCACCACTGCAAATGTCACCAGCGGATTGTAGCTCTCCTCCAGCGATGCACACGCCTGCACCGCACACCACATGCACGCATGGGAGCACACCCACATCAATGCATATCTGCCATGGGCGCACTCAGCGGCTCGCTACAGCACCTTCCCACACCCACTGCAGAGCGGATGTGGCAGTGAGATGCACGAAGGCAACGAGAGAGAGCAACACTGCACACCTTCCTGACGCCATGCCTCGCTCTGACTGCTTCCTCACCCATGCGCTAGTGCCCTACCCATGCGTGAGAGCCCCACCCCTGGCTGACCTGCTTGATAGCCGCCACCTCGTATTCTTTGACTGCGGCAAACTGCCCGTCGCTCACTCCATCCCTGCACGACCACACACGGCCGCAAGGGAAGCGAGCAAGGAGGGCGGGCGGAAAAGGAGGGCAGTGTGGGCATGGAGCTGGTGACGCAGCGGCAGAGAGGCGGGACAATGATGGTGACGGAACGCACGTGCACAAAGCACGGGCAGGGAAGCAGTGCGGGCAAGACAAGCTGGCCATGCGCGGGTGGGCGTGGCGTGGATGATGGGGGAGCACAACACGTTGGAAAGGGGTCAAGGTTGCAGGGCGGACAAGTGCTGTGAGAGGCTCGGAGCACTTTGGTAAGAGACAAAGTGGGTGGGGCTACGCGGCAGGGTTGCAGTGTAGTGGGTCGCACACCTGTACATGACGACGCGCTGGGGCTTGTGGCCAGTGGAGCGGTAGAAACTGATCAGCAGCTCCCTGTGCCGCACACACACCCGTGGGGAGAGGGGCCGCACACACAGGACAGGCAGGCAGTGCCGTGATGGTTGGGGGAAGGCGCACGACAAGGCAGGTCAGCGCAAAAAAAGAGCGGGGCAGAGAAAAGCAGGCAGAGGTGGACAGAGGTGGACAGAGGTGGGTCAGGGCAGGGTGGCGAGGAGAAAGGTACCTGACCATGCCGCCATGCTGCGGCATGCCATTGGCGTCCTGCGTGCACGTGTAGAGGTTCTGGATGATCTCCACACGGTGCGCCTGCGCACTGACGAGCGCCCGGTAGCGCGCCATCTCGGGCCAGTCCATGGACGCCACCACCTGGTGGGGCGTGCCGTGCCCCCACACACACGGCCGGCACAGCAGGCACACAGCGCACAAGGAGGCGGTGAGAGGTAGGTAGCAACGGCGATGGCAAGTGGCAGCGGTGAACTGCAATGCGGGGGAGGGACGCAGAGGGTTAGAACGGGCGGCGGAGGGGTGCAGGCGAGGGGGCTCACAGCAGCAATGGATGGGCTGTTGTCCTCGCCTGGCGCGGGGTGTGTGACATCAGCACCAAAGAGAATGGTGTACTCCTGGCAGATGAGCGGGATCTGCCGCTGTATCGAGTCCACCAGCGCCGTGTTGCGCCCCCCCACCTGCTCATGCCATGCCATGCCATGCCATGCCATGCCATGCCATGCAGCCGCCACGGGACGTAGCACAGTTGAGCAACAAGAGCAGAACAGTGAGGCAAAGAGGTGGCATGAGCCGTGCGTGGGGGAGAACATTCAGGCAGGCTTGATTTGCACAAGTAGCTTCCTTCCCTCCCCATTCCTTCCCTCTCCCCTTATTTCCCTCCCCCTTCTTTTCCCTCTCCCCTTGTTCCTGTCCCCTTTTCTTTCCCTCCCCCTTTCCTCCACAGTCAACCAAGCAGCACACGTGAGTGTGTGGGGGGTGAGAGAGGGCACCTTGGCGTTGATCTTCAACGCCACATTAGCCAGATACTGCTTTCCCTTTCCCAGCTTCGTTGCAAGGCAGCACTGCACGCAGCACCGCACCACGCACACATGGGCACCACCACGGACACAGGAGGCCGGAGCGGGGAGAGACGGAAGAGGAGTGCGGGTGAGTATGTGTGCGGTGAGTGCGTAACACTGTGGAGCGCGCAGTAATGAGGTGCTTTTGAAAAGCGGGAGGCAACAGGCATGAGAGGGGCAAGGTGCGATTGGGAGGCTCACCTGCGTGACAATGCCAAGCTCCGTCTCACACAGCCGCTTCAGATTGCCTGCAGTGCCAACAGGGAGAGGGGGTGTGTGCGAGGGAAGGGATTGGTGGGGAGAAGTCAAGCAGGCCAATGCTGTGCGTGCAACAGGCATGCATGATGCATGCCGGCGTAGACCATAACTGGAGCCCACCATTTGAAGGAGAGGAGGACAACAGGTGGGAGGGGACGACGGTCGTTGCCATAAGTGGCTGCTGGGCTGTGTGACCGTAACGCAAGGAGGTGGGCAATGGCAGGGAGGCGAATGCGGAGCAGGCAGGGAGAGGGTGGGTGGGGTAGAGGAGTGGGGTACCATAGAGGGGCCCGTTGCCCTCGTTGAGGATGCACACCACGATGTCCACATCGGGCATGGGGCGCTGCGCAGGGGTCAGCTGCCGTGCCAGGTTGCGCAGAATCGCCTCCATCTGCCCCGGATGGCCCGCCGCCATCGGCACACACATGCGCTGCTCCATTTGCTGCTCGCACACACACATAGCATTGTTTTGTTTGAAAACCGACCGATGCTTGCAGTGGACACATGCATATGGCGGGAAAACGATCGAAGAGAAGGGGAACCAGACAAAAATGAAAATCGGGCAGAGAACAAATGGGTAGTGGGTCGCGCAAGAGCAGGTGCGAGTGGGAGAGACAAGGGAATGAGCAGCGGCGTGCAGGAAGAAGGTGGAGCACGCACGAGGCCGGTGACGTTGCACATATGCGCGAGGTCTCGGCCAAACTGCTCCGCTGCCGGGCGCGGCAGACGACTCAGGTTCACCAGAGCCCAGCGCCTCACCACCGCCCCCGTTAACACTCGCTGCAGAAAAGAAGGGGTAGCGGGATGAAATCATGTGTGGTCACCATGCTGGTTCTTCCTGCATGCATGAGGTGCAGCGCGTGCATATCATCATTCCATCACAGCTGCGCATGCACGATGGTCTAGTGCATTGCAGCGCCGTGAAATGCAGAGCAGCAGGGTGCAAGGCGCAAGGCAGAGCGGCACGGCGTGCAAGGCAAGGCAGCAGGGTGCGGGCGCTTACCTTGTTCATCATGTTCCAGGCGCCCACTTGCGGCACCACGGTGCGCTCTCCACCCGAGTCTGAGTACTTGAGCTGCAGGGGGCACGCAGTGCACACAGGGGCCAGGCGACCATGACGGCAGCACAGGGCAGCACAGGCAGCACGAGGCATGGTGTGGACGGAGAGGGCGGCATGGTGGAGAGAGCACAGGGGGCGTGTAGCTGTGGATTGGTACCGTGGGCGTGGGCAGCACACGAGCGTTGACGGTGGCCATCTGGGGCGCCACACGGATGCCAAACTCTGCCGCAAAGGGGTCGCGCTCATACGCGTTGTGCCGCACCGTCTGCCATGCATGCACGCCACGCCACGCCACACACACACGCATGCAGCACACGCAAGAGGTAGAGTAATCGGCACACAAAGCAACACATCGCAAGGAGATAAAAAATTTGAAGTATAGACAGAAGGGGGAGCTGTTTTGCTGGACGTCAAGTGAGCCACTCTGTCACATTCTCACACATCAACTCAATCTCCTTCATCCGTTCCCCACACATCCACTCCCTCCTCTTCCCTCCACACATTTCGCTCCTTCAACCCCCTTCGCTCCCCCCCATCCCCCCATCCAGCTATAAGCAGCATCCCTTTCCCCCCGCGGCACTGACCTGGTTGATCTCTCTCTCCCTCTCAAACGGCTTGCGGGCGGCGTGCACAAGGATCTGGCTCGTCTGCACCTCGTTGAGTTTCTTATTGTACCTCTGGCCCTCCACTATGCGACACACCTGTGCGCACACACACCCACCCATGCCACACACCCACAGGCAGATGCGCGTGCCGATAGTGCATAAGTAAGCACACAAGCGCATGGTGCATGCTTGCACACGCATGGTGCGGGGCAGGCAAGAAGAAGCGAGACGAACAGCACTTGGAGGGAGGCTTGGGGCGACGGCAGGCGGAGCATTGGAGAGAACACACGTGGCGAGCACAGGGAGCAGGGCGGGCGGGGGGGCAGGCGGGTGAGTTACCTCGAGCGGGAGGTAGTTGAGGCGGTCGCCCTGGCCGGTGGTGGCGCAGGGCATGTTGCGCAGCTGCAGGGCGAGGTTGTAGTGCTGGCGGAAGTACGCCTCCACCGTCACCACCTGCGTCTCCCCCTCGGGGGTCGTCAGGGGGAACCTGCACCACGGGCGGTGTGGTGCACACACGCCATGGGGAGGTGGGCACGCAGGGAAGGCGGCAGGGACGAGGGTGGGCGGGGGGGACACGCCAAGGACGACAAAGGAAGGCAAGGAAAGGAGTAACGGAAGGAGCGGTGGAGTGAGGGAGAGCAAGGGGAGGCGGAGCGGTGAGGGAGCGTGTACGTGAGGGCGTGCAGTGGCTGTGTGGTGAGCCCCGTGAGCTTGTACTTTCGCCTCATCTGCCCCCGATGCGTCACCTCTATGCGCACGCCCCTCAGCCCCTTGCGCAGCTGCGAGAGAAGGAAAAGGGGATGGGGAAGAGTGAGGAGATGGTGACGCACTAAGCAGGAACAGTGCACAGAGGAGGCGGGGAGAAGAAGAGACGACGGTTGGTTTCGCGGGGTGCAGCAAGAGCGAGTGGCGCGCGGGGTGGGTGGAAGGAGGCGTACCGCGACACGCTCGAAGTCGGAGAGCGGCTGCTGCAGCGAGTGGCGGTTGAGCAGGCGCATCACGAAGTCAGGCAGCATCAGTGGCTCCAGGAACGCCGTCGCTGCCATGTCTGCTCACGACCAGGGGGTGGGGGAGGAGGGGGGTGGGGGAGACGAAGGCGGAGAGGGAACCCGCGAAGAGAGGAAGATGGGGACGTGTGGCAGGCAGCGAGGAGGCATGAGGGCGAGAGGCGTGGTGGCGAGGAGGCATGAGGGCGAGAGGCGTGGTGGCGAGGAGGCATGAGGGCGAGAGGCGTGGTGGCGAGGAGGCATGAGGGCGAGAGGCGTGGTGGCGAGGAGGCATGAGGGCGAGAGGCGTGGTGGCGAGGAGGCATGAGGGCGAGAGGCGTGGTGGCGAGGAGGCATGAGGGCGAGAGGCGTGGTGGCGAGGAGGCATGAGGGCGAGAGGCGTGGTGGCGAGGAGGCATGAGGGCGAGAGGCGTGGTGGCGAGGAGGCATGAGGGCGAGAGGCGTGGTGGCGAGGAGGCATGAGGGCGAGAGGCGTGGTGGCGAGGAGGCATGAGGGCGAGAGGCGTGGTGGCGAGGAGGCATGAGGGCGAGAGGCGTGGTGGCGAGGAGGCATGAGGGCGAGAGGCGTGGTGGCGAGGAGGCATGAGGGCGAGAGGCGTGGTGGCGAGGAGGCATGAGGGCGAGAGGCGTGGTGGCGTACCGATGTTGAGAGTAAGCCCCATCTGCGTGGGGCGCACGCTCTGATAAAAGCCCTTCCACGCCTCCACACCGTTGCCAATGGGCGCGCGCGGACCCAGGTCCGGGCTGAAGAACGACCGCGCCACTGGCACGTACCTGCCACATGCCACGCGGGGAGAACCCGGCAGAGGGGAGAGGTGCAGAAAGTGGAACGCCGTTTAGAAAACAAGGACACGGCACAACACATGCGTCCGCACGATCTCCACCCACACACGGTACGTAACCCAGAGCGTGCAGCAGCGAGGGGCGTGCACGTACATGCGCGTGGGCTGCTCCCGCAGCACGATGTCTATGGCCTGCAGCACCTCCTGCGGCACCTCCGTCTGCCGCCCCGCCAGGAACTCCATCAGCTGCGACACGCTCGCGCTCGCCGCCAGCCGCAGCACCACCTTGAACGACCGGTCGCGCGGCCGACTGGTGGGGGAGGGACGGGTGGGGGAGGGGAGCGAAGAAGCATGTATGGCGGCAAGCGACATGAGGTACGAGAGGCCGCACAGTGCGCAACGCGCATGCAGGGGAACGACGTCAGCATGCGCGCTGGGGAACGGGTGAGGAGGTTACCGCGACTGAGCTTCCCCTGCCGCCGGGGCTGGACGGTCGTCGGGCAGAGACACCTGAAACTCCTGCGCCTCGAACGGTAGTGGCGCGGCCGTGTACACGTTTTTGACGCCGTCGAAGGCCAGCAGACGATTGCCCAGATGCGACGAATGATACACGCGCGACAACTCGCGAATCACCTCCCGATTAATCCGCTTGATCGCAATATCAGGGGAGATAACAACCTGCACGAAAGATTCGAGAATGAAGTGTATACTGGAGACAAAACATTTTGGAATTCGCATAACGCAAGCAGTTAGATAGTTGGTGCATAAAGCAAAAGCACGTTTCAACCGCTACCTGTCGCCGCTTTCTACAGTCTCACTCACATCGTAGTGAAAAATGACGAGGTCCGCAATCTGAAGCGGAAAATGGTTCACACGGATCTTCATAATCTGCCCGACAGTGCCCCCTCGGTCAGGGCGTCGCGGGAACGGAGAGGTGAGGCCGGAGGGGCGAGACAGCGCGAGTCCAGTGAGCTGCGCGACGACTGCCTCGGTGGACGGCGCTGCGGTGGGTGGCAGAGGAACGGGTGCAGGCGGTGGGACGGACGGCGCCGCCACTGGGCGAGGAGCAGCAGGAGCCGGGGGTCCCGCGGCATACGGTGCTGGAGAAGCGTACGGCGCAGCAGGCGCCTCGTAGTAGGCAGGCTGCGGCGCCGGCAGGTGCGGCTCGTATGCAGGCGGCCCGCGACCGCCTCCTCCTCGACCTCCTCCGCCGCCCCCACGGCCTCTCGCGCCAAAACGGCCTCCCTGACCTCGGCCTTCCCCTTCTGACGGATAGCCCCCCCGTCCACCAGAAGGGCCCCTGCCCCGACCTCTCATTTCCGGGCCCCCTCGGCGACCCCTCCCACGCCAACTGCCACTGTCTCCGGAACCAGACGACATGGCTCACTTTATCGCTTGAAGTTGGAATAACTGCCTACAGGGTGGAACGACACAGCAGAAGTGCGACTTCAATGAAGCCAATTCTCCAGTTGAAATTTGTTAGGCAAGGAACTGCCAAGGCATGTGTTCGCAACGGAACAATTGAGTGTGATGAACCCTGACTCCCGGGCTGGTGCTGAGAGGACAGAAACCGAAGCTGCAAGCCCAGACCCTAGCCTCCATACAAACCGACTGAACAGGCCTCCACCTCACTCGAGGCTGTCCACCTCACCACTGCGAGGGAACCGTCGAGTAACCTGAACGCTTTCATGCAAGGAAGGCATGTCATGTCACTCGAAAGGTGTGGTTCGGCACGGCACATGAAACCAAACCTCAAATAACTTCATGCATCGAATTCCCCATTATGGAGTTTCCCTGCAGTGAACTTTCAAAGCAGCTCAGTTTATGTTACGGGTGCAATGAATCGAAGTAGCGAGAATTGCACTAAGGTGTCAAATGAGTACAAAGATGTGAGCGAAGGCATGAGCGAACATTTATATGCGAAACATGCAAACGGTAACGCGGTGCGTGCGAGCTAGCTAGTGCTATGCTGGCAGCGAGGCTCGGGCTAGTCCCGAAGCGTAGGCCGACACGGCCGGGCCAGCAGTGCGAGGTTTGGCAAAACAGTGCGCGCGAAGTTGGCGAAGTCCCGTTAGCAGTAACGGGCGAACAACGGCTGTTGCTGTACGCGATGTAGTTGGGCTCCGTAAGGAATGCCGAGAAAATTCCTTACACTACCCCCCCCCTCAAGAAGCCCCCTCCGCTACACGAGTGCGTGTATATCGCGGAATCCCCGGCTCCTCAGGTACACTTGCAGGGCAGGGTGGTTTTCAATGTTGGCCAGGGGCACCCAGCTATCTTCAGTTGGCGTGCGGTCCTTCCAGCGAACGAGGAATTCAATCCTCCTGATTCCCGTGGGGTGGCGAATCCGATGACTCAGGATTTTTTCGGGTTCGATGATCGGCTCTGATGCAGGGCGAGTCATGGATGGCGGGCGGTGGCGAGGCAGTTAGCTTGTGGTTGGGATGTATGGGCGAAGCAAGCTGACGTGGAACAAAGGGCTGATGTACCAGTCGGTCGGTAACAGTAGGTGCGCAGTTACTGGCGTGATCGTGTGGCTGATTTGGAATGGGCCACAGTAGCGCGGTCGAAGTTTTGGTACGTCGGGCAGTCGCAGATTTTGCGTGTCGAGCAGTACGTAATCCCCTGACTGGTATGTGACTGGGCGGCGGTGGCGGTCAGCGTTGTGCTTAGCGATGATGTTGGCTTTTTTAACTGCTTCTGCCGCTCTGGTGCGGGCAGCTTGCAGAATTTCGGCGAATTGCTGTGCGCGTGGTGTTGGGTTGTCCGGACTCGACGTCATAGGATTTTGCCCGTAGTTCAGGTAGAAGGGGGACTGCTGCGTCGTCGCTGACGTGGCGTTGTTGTACGCGAACTCGATCAGCGGCAGCTGCTGCTCCCAAGTCGTGGGGTCGTCGCACGTGGCACGAATCAACTGCTCCATTGTCTGATTCGTCCGCTCCGTTTGACCGTCGGTCTCGGGGTGGTACGACGAACTGAACTGTAGCCTGGTCCCGAACTGCTCCCAGAGGTTCTTCCAGAAGTTGCTGGTGAACTTCATGTCCCTGTCGCTGATAATCGCTGCTGGTATCCCGTGCAGGCGAACAATGGCTGCGACGAACAGACGAGCGGTCTCCTCGGCTGAGATCGACTTTTTGCACGCAGCGAAGTGTGCCATCTTCGTCAACCTGTCAACGACGACCATCACCGCGTCGTTACCCCCAGGGTTCGAAGGTAACCCTGTGACGAAGTCCATGGTAACCTGCTGCCAGGCGCGCTCGGGCGGTGGTATCGGTTGCAATTGACCCGCCTTCCGCTTCCTCGAGCTCTTCATCACCTGACACGTGGGGCACGAGCCCACGTGCTGCTGCACGTCGGTCAACAGCTCCGGCCAGTAGTAATACCGTTGCAGTTGCTGTCGCGTTTTTTCTACCCCAAAATGTCCCGAGGTAATTCCGTCGTGTGCCTCCTGCAGTAGCAGCTCCCTCAGTAGTGAGTACGCGGGTACCCAGATGCGGTTGGTGCCTGTTTTTACGTAATAAACTACTTTAGCTTCTGCCAGTTGCTGTGAATTTCCGGTCGTGAAAAACGGGTCGGTGCGGTATCCGTGGGTGAATAGGCCTGTTAAAAGCGGGTTGGTTTGGGCGAGTAGGATGGCATGGAGTTGGGCGGTAGGGCGAGTGAGTGCGTCGGCGATGTTGGAGGCGCCTTTCTTGTACGTAACCGTGTAGTGGAAGTTGGACTCGAGGTAGTCCAACCAGCGAATCTGTCGCGGATTGAGATTTGGTTGGGCGCGTAGGTACTGTAGTGCTCGGTGGTCTGTCCGTACTGTCACGTCGGCGCCAGTCAGGTAACACCGCCAAACCTTGAACGCGTGCACGATCGCCAACATTTCGCGGTCGTGTATCGGGTAGTTGCGTTCGGGCGGGTGCAGCTTGCGGGACTCGTACGCGATTGGCTGGAGGCCGTTCCCGAAATCCTGCAACAGTACTGCTCCCACAGCGATGTCACTTGCGTCAGTGACGAGCTCGAACGGACGGTGTGGATCTGCGATGTGAAGCACGGGCGGTGAGCACAAAATGTTTTTGAGGGCCGAGAAGGCAGCTTGCTCTTGCTCCCCCCACGTGTACTCAACCCCCTTCCTCAGCAGGTCTGTCAGCGGGGCAGTCAGCTTCGCCATGTCGGGGACGAACCGGCGCACGTAGTTGACGAACCCCAAAAAACTCTGCAATTCGGTCAAGTTGGTCGGCGCGTGCCATGCTTGAATCGTCGCAATTTTCTTCGGGTCTATTTCCACTCCTGCAGCTGAAATAACGTGTCCCAAAAATTCCATGTGGTCCTGTAAAAACTCACACATAGACGCTTTTGTCAGTAGGCGGTTCTCACCCAGTATTTGAAAAACTGCTTCGATGTCCTGTAAGTGCTGTGCTCTGTCAGGGCTGTAAATCAGTATGTCGTCCAGGTATACTATGACGCACTTATCTAAGAGCGGGCGGAATGCTTCGTTCATGGTCATTTGAAAAGTGGCGGGGGGCGTTGGTCAGTCCGAAGGGCATGACGGTGTATTCGAAGGATCCTGAGAAGAAACGAGGAATAGAATGACTAAAGGACAGTTGGGTACAAAAGCAAACCCTAGAAAACTGTACCCCATATGTGCTACCCCACTATAGCCTACAGTAGCTATGTCATATAAATCTGACACACCCCCATAGGCAAAGTGGGGGAGAACAAGGGGTCACAAGACCAGTCAAGCAAAGCAAAACAAGCTCAGGGTGGATCACAAAGTCACCACACATTCCGAGCACAAGTTCAAGGCCACAAGGCCAGTTCACATGCAGGATTGCATATATATATATAAGGCTAGACAAGCAAGAGCAGGTATATATATATATGCAACAGTACAAGCAAGGTCAAGGGGTGAGCAAGTGAGGCAAGGTAGGCACAAGACCCAGCTGAGTACAGAAGCGCTGATGATCACAAGGCGGAAGTGCCTTGGTGAAGATATCAGCAGTGTTGGCCTCAGAGGCCACGTACGCAAGCCGTAGCTGACCACGCTGCTGTAGCTCACGAGCAAGGAAGTAGCGGAGAGCAATGTGCTTCGTTCTGTGCTCCAGTCTCTGCTCTCGACACAAGGCCAGCATGGCCTTGTTGTCTACGTACAGCACTGGAGGAGAACGAGGCGGCTCTTCGAGGTCAGTGAGCAGGTAGGTGAGCCAGCGAAGCTCCTGTGCAGCCATGGCCCCGGCGTAGATCTCAGCCTCACAACTGGAGCCGAGAACAGAAGACGAGCGGGTAGCCCGCCACGAAACAGAGCCGGAACCAAGGCTGAAGGTGTAACCCTGTGACGACCGCTGCGTAGCCTGGTCGTCAGCCCAAGAAGCGTCTGCGTGCCCAGTGAGGACCACTGGACTCTGCCCTCCAAGCACAAGCCCCATGCCCGACGTACTGCACAAGTAGCGCAACACCCTCTTCGCTGCAGCCATGTGCTCCGGTCTGTGTCTCCCAGGAGCAACATAGCGTGCAAGAATGCTAAGAGGGTATGCAAGGTCAGGTTGTGTGCAGGTCATCAGGTACATGAGGCAGCCAACAAGCTCTGGGTACGGGCCACTCGACTCTACGGACTCATCCGAAGGCAGAGCTGAGAGCGAGTGGCGAGTAGACAGAGGAGTGGCCTGAGGCGAGGAGTACGTGAAGCCGAAGCGCTGAAGGACCTGCTGCACCATGTGTGACTGAGTCAGGGTAATGGTGCGGCGTGCTCTGTCCCGGGTGATCTGCAAGCCAAGGTAGCTGAGGGATGGTTCGGTTTCGTGCCTTTTTTTTCTTTGCTTCCTTCCGGCGTTGTGCCTTGCTTTTTCCTGCTGGCTTCCTGGGCTCTACCGAAGGCCCACTCTTTGACTGGCGTTGTTCCAGAGCCTCGACTCGCTGTTGCAGAGGGCTGACCAGCGTTTTCACCAGGGCGATTAGATCGGTAGAGGGGTTAGCTTGAATCTCCACCCCCCGTGCTTGCTCATCCCGTACCTTCTCCCGTTTAGCCGTCACCCTTGCCTTCGAGTTGCGGCTGCGCTTTATCCACACTGCATGGTACATCAGCTCGCGTGCCATGCCGCGTGCCATGAAGTCAGCGGCCAGCTCCTTGAGGTAAGCGTCAGGAGCAGGGGTGTTGGGTGCTGCGTGGGTCTCGAAGAGGTGGAGGTCTTTTTCTAGGAAGCTTTCGAAACCGGAGAAAGTCCGTGCCGACCAGACCTCTGCGGCTGTCTCACACACAGCCTTCTCCTTCTCTTTGTACGCCATCAGGGTCAGCTGGGCCTTCGTTTTGAAGGTTTTCAGCTCCTTATCCA